AGAAGGGGGAGGCCAGGAAGGGGGGTGGACACCTCCCCCCTCGAGGATCCCGGCCGCGCACGGGGAGCAGCCACAGCGACCTCACAAGGGCCATTCAGGCGAAGGCCCGGGCCCGGCCGGAAACCGCCCCCACACCTCGAGCTGTATTCACAGCTCGCCGCAGAGCGCAGCAGTTGCGGGGCCGGACCCGAAGCGGTGCGAGCCTGCCCTTAGCCCTGCCGGCCCCGCCACCCAGCCCCCCCCCCCCCCCGCTCCCCGACCAGCAGCCGTCTCGACGCAGGCCGCGCGGTGCCGATCTCCCGCCTCGAGATCTCCCGCCTCGAGAACTCCTGCCGCCCGCGCGAGGCTACCCTTCAGGAGGCTCCGACAGGGGAGGCACGGACAGGGGAGGGGACAGGGGAGGGCGCCCCTCCGCCTTCAGCTCCGCTCCCCCACCTCCGCCGCCGCCGCAACGAGGAGGCGCGCACCCGCGGGGCGGCGCTCCGCCTCCGCCGCCGCAGCGCTCCCCCTGTGGCCCGCGGCCACACCCGCCGCCGCCGCCGCCGCCGCCCGTCGGCCTCGCACCGGCCGGCGGCGGGCGGATGCACAGCGCGCGGGGCGCGCCGGGTGGGCGGCGCTGATACGGCTGCAGAGAGGCCGCCGCCATCCCGTCGAGAAAGATCGTCATGGACATGGCATCCGCAGCTCGCGAACCGTTTCCACCGAGAGACCGCCTCGCGAGGGTCGTGGTGTCACGCGTGAGAGAGGGCTCGCTCGCTCTCTTGTTCTTGCTATTTCATTGTTTGATTATCTCACCGCCAGGGCCCAAGCCACTTTCGACATCTCTCAGAGTCTTGACGAGACGGCACGCCACACCCGCCGCGGCGTTTTTCGCCGGCTTCCGAGGTCTGAGCTGTGACCGCACCGCACCAAACTGTGAATCTGTGTGCGCCGCTGCGGGCTCGCTGGTCGCTCACCCTGCCGTTGCCTCCGGCAACGCACGCGCGCACTCTCGCAGGTTGTACGCCTTGAGCTCGGCCCACCGCGGCAGCACGCTGACTGCCGCGTCGGACTTGATGACCTGCGGGAGGCGCGCGGGATGACACGCCGCAGGAGAGCAGTGTCGTGGCGGTGGCGTTGGCGGTGGCGGTGGCGTTGGCGGTGGCGGAGGAGCGGTGCATGCGCGCCTCAATCACGACGGCGGCGGAGGGGGCGCGGAGGTTGACGGTCGCCTTGGGCGCGACGGCGTGTACCGCCGCCGCAACCTCCCGGATCACGCTCTCTTTGTCGACGGCTGTGTTGTGCCTCCGCCGCCACTGGACCGCAAAGGTGCCGCCAAACCCGGCGAGAGGAGCGAGCAGCGGCTGGAGCGCAGCCACGATGGCGGCGGGGGTCGCGCCGCAGACCGCCTGCGGGCAGGAGAGGGAGGCCTCGCGACGGCGGGCGCTCGCCACCTCCCCCCTCCCCCTCCCTCCGGCCCGGCTCCACCTGCACCGGAAGCAGCCGGATCACGTGCGGCGCGCTCGACTCGCCCCGTGCCTGCGCCTCGCCGAGCGCGCGGCTCGCAATCTCAGTCGGGTCGTCGGCCTCCTCGCTGAACCGCAGCAGCACCGTCCCCGCGCAGCCGGTCTGCGCCACAGAGAAGCGCTTTGCATGTGCCGTGCCGCCGCCGCCGCTACCGCCACCCTCGCCACCGCCCTCCTTGAGGGCCGCCAGCTCGGCTGCAAGCTTGTCACCAGCGGTTCCGCTTGCCGAGCCGCCGTCGCCGTCGTCACCACCGACACCGCCGTCGCCGGCGGCAGCGCCGCCGCCAGCCAAGTCGTCGAGCAGCCTGTAAGCCTCTTTGATGGCCTTGTGCTCGAGGTGCGTGTCGCAGGTGATGAGGACGCCGCGCATGCCGCGCGAGAGCTCGCACACGCCCGGCGTCGGGGCTACGTACCGCCGCTTCGCGTGCGAACCACCGCCACCCTCGCCACCCAGGCGCTTGTTGCCGCCCATCGTGATGCGTGCAATTCTTTTTCTCTCGCTCGCCCCATGGGCCCGGCCGGGCGGGGCCGGCCGCATCGCGCTCTCAGCGGAGGGTTTAAATGGGAAAAGAAAACACCGGCGGTTAGCCGCCGTTCGCCCGCCGCGGCGTGTGTGTCCCGGAGCAGTCTTAGATGGTCCCCGAGCAGGACAGCGCGGCGCCGCCTCCAGCGCACGGTGCCGAGGCGGCGCCCACCGCGGCCGATTTTTCCGAGGCAGTTGTTGGAGGTGACGACGCGACGGCGTCCCCTTCGGGCAGTGGCGACGCCTACGAGCCGGCGGAACGCGACCCGTTTGCCACAGCAGCGGACGACGATCCTTCGGGCAGCGACGAGCCTAGCGCCTTTGGCCGGATCATCAGCGGCACAAGCGTGGCGCCTGGACCGGCGGCGCTGCCGGACGACTTCAGCAGCGAGGCGCCCGGCTGGGATGCGGCGGCAGGGGGTGCTGCCGGCGGGGAGGGTGGCGAGTCTGCCTCGCCTGCCGCGGCTCGCCCTGAGGGCGGCGGCAGCAGCCCTCCTCCGGAACCGTTTGTGACGGAAGAGGGAGCGGAGGAGGCCGTCGCCGATTCCTCTGTTGCTGCCGCCGACGAGGTTGGCGCAGAGCCCGCGGTGTGCTCGACGCCATCGGTGCAGCCTGGGCCCGCCGAGACGCGCGCCCAGCTGGTCGCCGCGCAGGAGGAGGCGCTCGCGGCGGACGACTTTGACGAGGCGGAGCGGATCCAAGCGCAACTCGAGCAGCTGCAGCAGGAGGAGCAGCTGCCGAGGGCGGAGGAGCAGGTGCCGCAGGAGGAGCCGTCGCCGGAAGAGGTCTCTTCTGCCTCCTTCGACGACGCCACTCCAACCATCGATGCCGCCGCCGCGCCTGCCGCCTTTGGCTCTGGCGACTTCGGTGGGGCTGCGGCTGACGAGGCCGCCGCGCCTGCCGCCTTTGGCTCTGGCGACTTCGGTGGGGCTGCGGCTGACGAGGCCGCCGCGCCTGCCGCCTTTGGCTCTGGCGACTTCGGTGGGGCTGCGGCTGACGAGGCCGCCGCGCCTGCCGCCTTTGGCTCTGGCGACTTCGGTGGGGCTGCGGCTGACGAGGCCGTGTCGCTGCGGAGGGTGGAGGCGGGCTCGTCTGCGTTCGACGCCTTCGGAGAGGAGGAGGAGGAGGAGGAGGAGTGGGCAGACGTGGCCGAGGGGGGCGAGCGGGAGGCGAGCGACTTCTCCGACTCGCACGCCTTCGAGGACGGCGACGACGCGGATTGGGCCGACGTCAGCGCGCCGATGTCCTCCGGCGAGGAGATCTCCCCCGTCGGCGTGCGAGAGGGCGAGAGCGCCTCCCGCTTCGGAGAGCAGGCGTCCGCCTCCTTCGACCCGCCGGACGGAGCCGACCCGTTTGCGAGCGGAGAAGCTTCGGCCAGCTCGACCACCTTCGCTGGCTTCAGCGATGGCGGGTCGGCGGCGGCGTCCTTCGGCACGTCTTCCGCCGCCGGCGGCGGTGCAGCCGAGTTTCCAAGCGAGGACGGCTTCGGCAGTACGTCGTTCGGCGGCAGCGAGTCGGGCTTCTTCGCGTCGGGCAGCGGCGGCGGCGGCGGCGCCTCCTCCGGCTTCACCGACTCCGAGTCCGCTCCTGAGCCCGCGGCGGCGGCGTCCTTCTTCCCTTCGGACGGGTTCGGCGATGCGCCGGCCGGCGACGGCGGGTTTGGCGCAGGCGGCCTCCGGGCGGTGCCAGCAGGCCGCCTCTGCTAGCTGCGCACAACGAGTCCCTCTCACGCCGTAGGCTTCGCTACGTCCTTCGGTGGCGCCGAGTCTGGCTTCTTCTCGTCCAGCGCCGGTGATGAGTCGCCTCCACCACCAGAGTCCTCCTCCGGGTCCATTCCGGCGGCGGCGGGCGAGGCGGCGGCGGCTGCGTCGTTCTTCCCGACCGGCGGGTTTGGCGATGCGCCGGCCGGCGACGGCGGCTTCGGCGATGGCGGCTTCGGCGACGGTGGCGCCGGCGCAGGCAGCCCCAGCTTCGCTGCGAATCCCGTCTCAGCCGGGCGTGAGGCATGACAGAGCTCTTAACGCCATAGGCTCCACTGCATCGTTTGGCGACCCCGAGTCCGGTTTCTTCTCGTCCAGCGCCGGTGATGAGTCGCCTCCACCACCAGAGTCCTCCTCCGGGTCCATTCCGGCGGCGGCGGGCGAGGCGGCGGCGGCTGCGTCGTTCTTCCCGACCGGCGGGTTTGGCGATGCGCCGGCCGGCGACGGCGGCTTCGGCGATGGCGGCTTCGGCGACGGTGGCGCCGGCGCAGGCAGCCCCAGCTTCGCTGCGAATCCCGTCTCAGCCGGGCGTGAGGCATGACAGAGCTCTTAACGCCATAGGCTCCACTGCATCGTTTGGCGACCCCGAGTCCGGTTTCTTCTCGTCCGGCGCCGGTGATGAGTCGCCTCCACCACCAGAGTCCTCCTCCGGGTCCATTCCGGCGGCGGCGGGCGAGGCGGCGGCGGCTGCGTCGTTCTTCCCGACCGGCGGATTTGGCGATGCGCCGGCCGGCGACGGCGGCTTCGGCGATGGCGGCTTCGGCGACGGTGGCGCCGGCGCAGGCAGCCCCAGCTTCGCTGCGAATCCCGTCTCAGCCGGGCGTGAGGCATGACAGAGCTCTTAACGCCATAGGCTCCACTGCATCGTTTGGCGACCCCGAGTCCGGTTTCTTCTCGTCCGGCGGTGCCACCGCCGCCCCGGACTGCAAGTCGGCGCCGCTGTCCGAGCCCAGCTCCTCGGCCTCAGCGCCAGCGTCATTCTTCGCTGCCGGAGGGTCCGGCGACGCGGCGGCGGGAGATGGCGGTTTCACGGCTTCCTTCGACAGCGCCTTCGGCGTCGGCGGTGGCGGCGGCGGCGGCGGCGGCGAGAGTTTCATCGAGTCTGGCGGCGAAGTTGGCGCAAGCACTGCGAAAGAGGAGCTCGACGCTCTGGTCCGCGAGCTAGTCGCTGGTGGCTTTCCGGAGGAGGTTGTGAGGGAGGCGTTGGCCGCCACCAACAACGATCGGTTGGCCACGCTGGACCGGCTGGCGACGCTGCCGGTCGAAGCTGGTGGCGTCGTCAAGGCGCCCGCCCCCTCCAAGCCGGCGGCGGCGGGGCGGTTCGCGAGCCTCTTCGGCAAGAAGAAGGAGCAGCCGAAGTCGGGCATCGTCCGGCCTGCTCCCGCCGCCCGCCCTTTCCCCGCCTTCCAGCAGCCGCCGCCGCCGCCGCCGAAACCGCCGCCGGAGCAGCAGCAGCGCGACGGCGCTCCGGCTGACTCGGAGCAGGCGGCCGCCGAAGAGGCTTTCCTCGCGCTGCGCGCCGACCCCGCATTCAAAGGCACAAGCGACAGCGCGATCAGGGCCGCCATCGCAGCAGCGGCCAAGAACAAGAAGGCCAAGGAGGCTCAAGAGCAGGCAGCCGGCGAGACCGAGCC